TTAAATGTGACACACAGAAACTGTAATGAATTTCATGTAAAGGACAGAAAGTTGTGACCATTGGTCATAATTCTGGAGAGATGTGACCCTGGGAATAAATAGGGAGAGGGAAAACGGGAGTCTCAGTTAAATTCGGGAGGGTTAGCAAGAGGGGCGTGACGAGACATTTAACCCACGAGACAAGATTCGAGATTGGTTTCAACAGATCGAGACGAGATTTTTACGCTAATTTTAAGAAATCTTTAGTGCTTAATTATATAAAAATTTTGAGTATTAAATACTTAAATTACAGTCTGCATTCTGAAGAATTTTTCTGCACCACTATTGGGAAAATGTTTTTATGTAAAGAGAAACAAAATTCAAGTGGCAGGTGACAATTCAAAATCTATAGCCTAACTGTAACCGAATATAATGCAGTTTCAGTCATTCTGTGCTGCTATCACATCAGTTTCTCCTGTAGATCAGCTTGTTTAATATCTCTGCTGAGTCATGATTTAGTCTTTACTCCTTTTGTGTCTTCATATGGGGAATAAACCTCTTTAAATGTGACTGTGGCACCTTTTCACCATAATGATAAATTATTAAATTTTTATTCAGTTAGAAACTCCTGGACTTTGTTAGCTCATGTTTCAGCAGCTTTTCTGCTCATGTTCAAAACTTTCTGCACATCTGTGCCAACGTCATCATTTAATGAGAAGTCTTAACTTCTGTACAACAGCGTGTGGTGTATGATTTTATTCTTCTGCACATGCGGGTCACTTTTAGGCTGTGGGCAGCTCACATTGAAGTCTGATATGGGCCACATTTAAATAATAATTTGAACTGTCAAAAACAAAATCAGATCTGGTGAAAAGAAAATTAAAGGCCTGCGGTCTGAATGTAGCCTTAGGCTGTGACAAACCCATATGAAGCAACAGGGTTGGGGATTAATGGATTACATGTAACGGCGTTACGTAATTAGGATACAAAAATAAAGAAAAAAAATTGTATTCAGTTACAGTACAGAAAAAAAAGATGTAATCAGATTACAGGTACATTTAGCAAAAATGGGGATTACACATGAGGATTACTTTAAGAAGAAACTTTCCATGAAAGTGGAGTGCTATTTGCTATTTACGTGTTTCCTGTAAAAACACAAAGCTAGGAAGTGATTTGTCGCAGATATTGATCAGCGTGTACGAAGGTGGTTTTCTTGCCAGTTTGGCTCTTGTCACCCCAGGGCCGAGTCAACTAATGAGGCTGTGTTCGGTCCTGTTCATGTTGTGTTCACTGGGAGGCTGGTTAGCACAGTTTCGTTGCCCGCTTGCCCGGCACCGCTCCCCGCAATCATTCCCCGCCGGGTACCCCCGCCCCTGGCCTGAAAACCTCCATTAGTAAAGTTGTAAACCTAAGCACACGTTCTGGTGCTCCGAGTTCCCAATACGGGCCGAGTAAACTAATTTGTCCAGTAGCTGCAGGGTAACTGAGCTAAAGTTAATTAGATAATGGCAGCTAGTTAGCAGCAGCTAGCTGACTTGCTACAGCAACAAGTAAAGCTATCTGTCCATCAGGGAACTCCATAAATCACAGAGTTGAGGCAGAGCAGCCACGGAACATTAGAGAAAAAAAAGGATATTTCCATCGAATGATCCAGTTTCAGCAAAATCAGTTGTGCTTTGTACAGTAATCAGTGGTACCTGGTCCCTGAAACACTATTTTTCAGCAGCATTATAAAAATTAAGAAAGCTTTTCATTGGAAACTAAATCAATACAGGCAGGTGATTCATCAATGTTTTAAATAGTTTTCCAGGAAATGACACACTGTCACGTTCAGTGATGTGGAGGCAGGTTATAGGACCCAAACGCAGGACACGAAGACTAGCGGGTGCAGTTCAGAGTTTTATTTAAAAGCAACAAAAAGCGAGCACACTTACAAACTGAGTGGCCAATTGATTCCAAAAACAAAGGTTTTCCAACAGAAATCCAACATCCAAAATCCCAAAACGAGCAGGGAAACACGACGAGTATGGCTGACAACACACTGCAACACAGGGTGACAACATATAATGACCCGACAAAGACAGAAACACCAGGTACATATACAGGGACTAACGAGCAGGGCGGGAGCAGCACAGGTGACAGACATGAGGCTAACGAGGCACAGGCAGGGAGAGAGAGAGCAGGGGAAAACAGACAGACATGCAGAGGGATCACTGGGGTAACAGACATGACAAGGGTTACTGAACACTAGATGACAGACAAGACAGAACCCCAAACCCAACAGACCAAAATAACATAATAAAGCTGACTAAACTCAAAAAAGGTACAAAAAAATGACATGACAGACAGGCAGAGTGTGACTCACACTCTAAAATATCATCAAGAATATCTACAAAACAATATTTTGTCATTGATGGGCCAGATCCTGCCAGATGACGTACAGGCCCAGTGCATCATAAAAACATTTAAACATCGATTTTGATTTCATGGGAATGGGTTATTTTCTAATTGTATGTTTCTATAAAAATCCACTGAGCATACATTGCATCTTTGATACTCTGTCTTTATTTGCGTATTTGGTATTGAAGTAATCCAAAGTAACTAAAAGTAATCAGGTTACATTACTTTTATTTTGTGGTACTTGGATTACGTTACCGATTACATTTAACAAGTAATTGTACCGGATTACATTTTTTAAATAATCCTCCAACCTGGAATGTCAATACTCACAGCTGTGGAAAGAACTCCTCTCCCTCGTTCTCCATTCTTCCTCTGGCTTTTTGGCTAGCAGCTGACTTGAACAATATAAAGTTTCTGCTAAAGCAGTAACACAGCATTGCTTGGATTATTAACTACTATAACTGTTTTGGAAATAGTAATCACTTACAATACTAGTTGCTGGGGAAAGTAATATTGTATATAAATGTTTAATTCAGTGTATGATAATATATTCAATTCATTGTGTGTCATCCTGAACTCATTAAGAGGCTGTCAGGCCAAAGGACAGTCTGAGTACACTATACATACTAGCTCAAAGCAGAGTCACAGCACCTGAATAGAAAGGTCACTGAGTGGAAAATGAAAAGGGAAGTGGTGTGGAAGATAACTCCAACAACACCCACACAGTTTTAAACCACTCTCTGCGCCTCAACTAATTTAACCAACAATGTATGTGGTATATACACTATACTGCCAAAGGTTTTGGGTCACCTGCCTTTACATGCACATTAGGTTAATGACATCCCATTCTTAACCAAGATGGCGCAGCAGACAGCTGTCTCTGGATTACGCTCCGTAGTGCATTTTTTTTATTTTTATAAATTCTGTTTTCTGCTGTCCTTCTCTGGAAACATTTACCAGAGAAGAGCTCTTAAATATTGAACTTTCAACTGCTCACACTATTCCACCACTCTTTATTTAACCTGGAACTTTCTGATTTATTAGTTGGAGGAGCAGCAGCTCTGTACGGGATCTACCGCAGAAGGGGGAAACCTAACCCTAACCCTAACCCTGCCATTGATAATCTTAAACAACAACAAATCATCATCATCTAGCAAACCTGGGCCAGTGCACACTCTATTCACTTTCTACAAATACAGCTCCGCTCTGACAGCTGTTAGGAAGCTTCAACTCATCTTATCAAATGAAACAGTTCCTTCACTCATGGTTTCAGTGGTAAACCACCACAACACCGGACAAACACCAGGAAATGAAACATTACATTACTCATCCAAAGAAGATCACATAGAATAGCCTACATGTGAGAGAGTTCAGAGATACAGTAGTTTTGGGGAACACTTTCCCCTCCATCGGGGGGGGTAGTACTTTCCAAATGTACCGGTACTTTGGGGGGTGGGGCTTGCCTTGTAGTGAAATTCTCAATGGACGAGTAGGCTACTGGCTTTAACTGGATAATGTCGGCTGTTTTTCTACAACTGCTCGTCTCTTTTCCACCTTTGTTTGCAAACCAATAACAATCAACAGTCGAATAGCCACACAAGTCTCGCTGATGTCCTCCTGAGATCATATGTTGGCATTAAATATATTGGAAATAGCAGCCAGTGTGCAGCGATGCGTTTGCGCTAAATACTGGGTCCTGAGTTGTTATTATCCACACATGTCTTGCCGATGTCCATCTGTCGGCATTAAATTTATAGCTGAGAAATTGCAGCCAGCTGCAGCGGTGTGTTTACAGTGAACAGCTGATGGAGATATGCTAAATACTGGGTCCGAAGTTGTTGTTTTAAGTTTTAATCTGCCAGGAAGTTTCTACATGGACTACATGTTTCCACAGTTGGGAGCATGAAATTGTCCAAAATGTCTTGGTGTGCTGAAGCATTAACTATCCTTTCACTGGCCAAACCCAACCCATGAAAAACAGCCCCATACCATAATCTCCCCTTTCACCAAACTTTAGACTTGGCACAATGCAGTCAGGCAAGTACCCTTCTCCTGGCAACTGCAAAACCCAGACTCATCCATCGGATTCCCAGTCAGAGAATTGTGACTCGTCACTCCAGAAAACAAGTCTCCACTACTCTAGTGTCCAGTGGTGGCATGCTTTACACCACTCCATCTGATCACTTTGCATTGCACTTGGTGAAGGCTTTAATGCAGCTGCTCGGCCATGAAAAGCATTCCATGAAGCTCTCTACACTGTTCTTGAGCTAATCAGTCAATCGGTCTCTCTCTCTGTCTCTCTCGATGCTTCCAAAGAAGGAAGAAGGAGCCTGATTCGACTGCCAATCTCACCGCTGAATCTTTGCAGAGGCGTTAGAAAACGATCCCCCCTTTATTGGGGTGCACAATGTCTGATTTTACACTGCAATTTGTAAATATTATTGGCCGTTTTGTGGTAATTCTTTCTAAAAGGAATCAATGAATGAAGCATGATTATTTTTATCTATTGTGTAAGTTAGTAGTCAAGAAATTTCATTTTCATACTTGACTTTCAGCCTGCAAACAGTTCACTCATTCCCACAACTGCATACTTGTCATCCAAATATATTGAGAGAACAAACCTGTTCCAAGTTTAGCAACCTCCTCAAGATAAGCAGACGTTCTGGCAGACGCGATGGCCTCTGGAAGCTTCAGAGTGAAGGGTAACACGTCCCTAAGAAAGAGAGAAAAGGTGGAGTGAAAAGGAGAAATATTCAGTCAACAAAGAAAAGGAAAATGAAGTGAAGGAGGCAGGACTGAACCCTATTCCTAAAAGTTTGAGTCACTGCTTTGGAAAATAGGAGCGTGTCTTGGCCTGGGTGTGTGGTGTTGGCTGAACCAAAGGGTAATATGTGCCTACTGCTCTTCTCCCTGTGGGTCTTTTACAAGTCCTTTAAAAGTTTTTTCACAGTTTCCAAAGACTTCTAAAGGCTTTAGTCAAACAAACCTGAGTGATCATAGCTGAAAATTCTGCCTACAGATTTCTGAAGGAATCATCTCTCAGTGAAACCTATAACCTTTAAATGTGATAAATGACTGAGCCTGACCAATATGGGTTTTTGAGGGCCGATGCCGATATTAAAGTGAAAAGACCCGATTTATGAGGCAATATTGATTTTGAAAATTAGGGTAGTATAACCCTTTCCTGTATAACATTTACAACACACCAATAGTGAAAGCAGTTCTGTATGTGGGCTATAACACCTTTCCTAAATGGATTATGTTAATTAAAAAGATTAGTCTCAAAAACTTTTGCACAGCAATGAATATTTGCTGCTAGGAGGTGCAAATTTTTCAGCCATCTGTAAACAGAGAGTGAGAGAGTCGCATATTCACATCAAGTTTCTCTTTACCAGCACTCTTTAATTCTAACCAGAGCTACGAGAAACCATTTCTCAACCACCATCTCGCTCTAAAACATGCAGTCTATGATACAGTGACCTGCTGTTGAATGCATCTAAAGCCTAGTTCACACTACACGATTTTTAGCCTGATTTGCCGCTCGGAGAGCTCGGCAACCGTCAGGCTATGACCGGAAGTCTCTCTGTAGCTCAAACGTTCCCTGCTACCTGCGTGTGCTAATCCATTCTTTCACTCATATTCTTTGCCTTTATAATTACTCTTTATGATAAACAGCTGTTTTGTCTGTAGGTTCGCGTCATTTCACGTACGTTTTCTTGATGAAACGTGGTTTGAGACCAGCGTCGGGTGACAGAGTCCTTATCAGCTGGTGTACTGTGTACCAATCAGTCACGTAGTGTGAACGCCACAACGACTTCAAGACTCCCATCACAAGACTGCAAGTTGTGTAGTGTGAACGGCACGGCGATCAGCCAACGCTGAAAGTCGTGTAGTCTGCACGAGCCTTAATACTACATGACTGTCTACAAAGAGGACTTGCAACTTTAAGATTTCATTTCACTATAACTACAAATGAACTACATTTGAAAGATGAGCTAGATAACTTTGTCTGGCAGGAAGCCATGTTAGTTACTTGTTCAGCTCACATTTATTTTTAAATTATTTTAAAAAATGATGCAACATTTAACGTGACATCATTAACATGCTGAATTAGCTATTAACAGTTCCTGTTGCAGTGTACCAATGGGTGTACAGACAATCACTGAATTACCTAATACTAGGGGTGTGACGAGACACTTAGCTCACAAGCGATTGTAACACTATTTTTAAGAAATCTTCCATGTATAATTATGTGAACATTTTGACACTTATTTTCCTGCATTCTAGTGAAATATCTGCACCAATTTCAGGGATCAACTTTTCTCATGTAATATCATCCCTGCTTAGTCAACACACATGCATGCGTGATTTAGTCTTTTCTCCTCTTTGTGTCTTTGTTTGGGAAAGTAACCTCTTTCAATGTGCATGTGGCACCTCAATGATAAATTAATTAAAATTCAGTTAGAAACTTTAACCTAGACTTTAATAGCTTCTATGTTTCAGCAGGTTTTCTGCACATTCAGAATCTCTCCCAAAATCTGTGTTCTCAGGTGTATAAAAGAATATTACAAGACTAACGGCATCATTTAATGAGAATTAACACCCCCCCACACACACACACACACACTTCTGGCAAGAGATTCAGCAGCTTGAAGAGCTTCTGACCAAGACCTTATGGTCTTTCCCTTAGCACCGCGAGACTGCGCCAAAGAGAGCCCTAAAGAGAGAATATCTAGCAGCAAGTTCCACCAATGGTATAGTGATAGAGTGTGTGGTGGTTTGCACCATATTACTTTATTTGCAGCAGTTAGGGTGGAAAGCCTAATTCTTTTTTCATGCACAGACATTGGAATGTGTGATGTATGTATGATAATGCAACATTTGTTGAAGTGAGTATTGTTGGTTGCAAAAAGCATTTTGGCTGGTTTAAATGGAACTTCTGCATAAATTAGATCTTGAAATATGTGGATAAACTGGATTTTCTTCCAGAGCTCACATTCCCAAACAGAGCAAGCATGTGGCTCAGTTTTTAGATGATAATGCAATGTTCACTTGATTACTATCACGTTTTTCACTGCATGGGAAAATTCATGTGTGGCATAGCGTGTGAAACATCTTCAACCAAGTCCAGTTGACCTCGATTAATGCTTGGGGAAGACAAGCATATTTTCATGTACAGGGTGATGAAAATGATGTTAGATTCACTGATATTATAAATTCCAGGACAACACACAAAAGCATATACCTTCGTCAACCCTGTTACCACTGAAATGGTAACAGGGTTGACAGTAACAGGGTTGACGCAAAATGTTATTGCCAGCCACTACTAGCCTTGTGGTAAATGTCATGACACCACATGGTGATCATTCATGAGAGGCTTGTTATGTTATATGTACATTTACAAAAAATAAATAACTTTTTAACATGTGTTGTGGTAACAGTGTTGACACACTGAGCTCGTCCCACTCCGTGAGACATTACATAACTCAAAAAAAATCCATTAAAAAGGGAGGTGACAATTACTAATCTTTTACCATAAACTTCATAAAAAGGCAAGTGATGTCACTTCCTGGAAATTATGCAACTTTTGAAGCAGTCCATCAGCTTTAAAGGGGTGTTTTGATTATAAGTAACTGGGTTGACAACAACATGGGGACCCCAACTAAATTGTTGTTTTTGCAATATTTTAGACATATTAAGAATAAAACCCCTTCATGAGTAATGAAACAACACTTGAGGCTTTATATAGGTTTAAATTTTTTTATGATAGACTTTTTTGGCCTCAATAGCAAGTAGAAAAATCATACTGAGGGACAGGCCATTTAACATTTCTTCAAGATGCTTTGCACAAAAGTGATTAAAATCCTTTAAAAACAAAACAGAAATAATTTATTCTTATATTATGAGACATTATGGAAACTAAATTATAATATATTTTGTATTATGGTTTATTAAGAGTTAGAGCTTTTTTCCCCCCTGAGGGACGTAAAATGGCACGTTTCGTATAATGACCCATATATTGTTTCTATGATTTCTGGATGTTTATTCATGAAGGACAGATAATCATATCCTCAAAAGTGTAACTCTTATGTAACTTAATCTAAATATTATCTTTCTGTGTGTTCAGATCTGCATTTCTTTCTGTTATCAGTTCTTTCAGACTGAAACTCACCTGCTGATGCAGCAGAAAGCCACCAGATGGAAAAGGTCTGCAAAGCTCAGGCGTGATCCCTCCAAAGAGAAAGCTGTAGAAGCACAGAACATGATCAAGGCACAACAAACCACAGAAAACTGTCAGAGGGAAAGCATTAAACACCGTCTGGTCATTTCTTTACAGTTTAGGGTCAAAGCTTCTGGGACTGGATTAAACGTGACAAAGATCAGCATGTGGACAGAGATAACAGGCGTGTGTGTGTACTGTATTAGAGAAAGAAGATGAGATGTGCTCACAGTAAGAGGTGAAAAGAAAGAAAAGGAAGAGTTTCAGACTATATCCCTCATACATTTTACAGTCATGCATACATTTGTATCCAAAGGACTTAACAAATGGTTAAATAGGGAACAGGATGCAGAAAGAGAGGTGTTCTCCTATTTGTCTAAGTGTCAGTGCAGTACATACAAACCAGGGTGTTCAAGGCACCACTGTTTCCATTTTTCAAGCTTTCATCTGGGCAGAAACTGTTTCCACTCTTACTCAGCCCTGCAGTCCTTAACCAGCCCAGTTTCATTATCGTAGCTTAGGATAGCAGTTAGCCTATTTATTTAATTCATATTTTAGTTTCCTAACATATTTATAGGCCTTCTTGCTATGTGGACACTCAACCAGCAGATGGCACTCTGCCCCCTTCTGTGACACCAACAGGAAATAAGGGTTTGACCTTTTGACTTGTGTTTATATCACTGAGTTTGAAGGGTATGCAGAACTTCACCTGCCTTCCAGCTTCACTTTCTGTGGTGCTATAGCTGCTAAAAACTCAGCTTCCACCATCTACTGTTGTGTCAAAAAAAAAAAATCTGTAGAGTTGTATAATTTTTATTTTCCTTTGCCATTTTCTCCAGTGTAAAATACTTGTGTTAGTTAAGTAAATTTTTTAATGCAGTCTGTAGTTCTCATAAGTTATGTAGGCCTACTTATGTGAAACCTGGTGAGCATTAATAAGAGTCAAATGATCTCTAGCTCTGGGGCTTTCAGATCTTTTAATGCTTTTTTGGGGTTTAATTCTGTTTGATGAACCACCAGGGAAAGGCAGTGCTCTGTACCGTTTGGAACTGTGAAAAGTAAAATAAAGTGAAGTTGAGTTATTTAGTTTTTCTCCCTGGTACTCATCTCAGGACCTCCCAGAGTTTCCCCAATACCTGGAGGATGTGAGCCTGTGCAGGGTTTAAAGACTGATAGTATCAAGGCTGGCCCCATCACCTACTATCACTCTCTTCAAATTAAAGCTGGACTGGCGGGACAAAGCAGAACACCACTCCTTCCTCCGGCACCATAAAAGGGCCCTGTTGTCACTTTCAGACATTTACATCATGATTTATGGTAACCACCCCTTGTAAATGTGGCACTGTTTTTGTAAATAAGGATGATGTCAACTTTAATACACAATCATACAGTAGGCTTCTATGAAGAACAGTACAGTGAAGTACAGTGGGTGAGTGAAGACTAAAACCTACTGTAAATATTATACTAATTTATACTAGTTCCTCCTCCAGGCTGTGGTCAGAGCCTCTACAGTGGACAGATGTAGATTTAGTTAAAAAGCCCATGTCGAGCATTCAGATCCAATAGTCTTCACATCATAAAACATTGCACACAAGGAGAACAAGCTCAGGCATATTATATGTATAATACATTTATATAAATTAATTCTGTGCTACTTGAACATTTTACTGTCCTACTATGGTCTGTCCTCCTTAGGAGAAAGGTTAGCGTAGCACTACTAGCACTCATTTTAACCCATGAATCAAAATTTAAAGATCAGGTTTTGGGCAGTTTTATTAGCTACACAAGCTCAGACAAAACAAGATGTTAAGGCCAATGCTGCAGAGATGCTAAAGGATAAAAGCAAACTGTTACAAAAGCACAATTGCCTCCAGGATGCCCTGACACAGGTGCGCACCACCACTAAAGACAACAAGTCACACACAAAACACCACACAATAAGGTTCAGTTAAAAAGGTCCACACACAGCGGTCACACACACACACACACAGTGAAGGGAAGAGGGGCTCCCACAGTCCACCACCCTGTCAGAACACTCAAAGAGGGAAAAGGGCTGAGAGAAGTCACGCAGCCCAAAAACAAGTAAACTGCCCCACCCTTAGCAGAACCTAGCAGTTCACAGGGCCCATCCATTTTTAACAGAGTCTCAAAGAGAATCCCCATTTAAAATCAGGACACAAAAATCAATAGTTGATCAGGCAGGCAAGACAGCAGTTGCTATACAACCCTGAACTAATGCAGTAAGTCATTCACCCAGCTCTGACTCCACCTCATTCAAGGAGTAGACATTTAAGGCAACTCACAGTATCAGCCTCCACGGCCATCTCTATAGTGAACTCTAGCAGAACAGGCCATGCAGTCTATAGGGTCTTGGCAACAGGTGGCTTAAAATGCCTGTAATAAAAACAATTTAAAAAGTATTCACAAAAGTTGGATGGCACACCATCCAAAAACCTAACCTGCTTCCTAGCCACACTGCAACACAATGCATCAAGAGAGATCCTGAGTGCTCCCTGAACATCAATTCTTAATGAGGTAATTTTCTCCAGGTGTGTGCCGCTACTGGAGAGGCAGGGTGGAGCTTACCTTAGAGGGTGAACCTAGATTGTGGCATCACTAGGCCGAAAGTCTACCATCACAACAAGAAAATGGATAACCACACAGGCTAACTAATTCAGTGGTATACAAGATTAAATTTAAACAGCTAGCCTTGTTATCAAACTCGAACTATCGGTTAATATTTAGTTTTATCAGAGTTATTAAGCAGCTAGCTATCAATACACAAACACGGTAGTTTTTTTGTTTCGTCTTTTTACTAAAGGGGACTGGGGCGAAACTCCCCTAAACAGATGAGAAAGTCTTAACACAGTCTTCTCCAGAGCAGCCTTTACTGCCAGTTAACAATCTGAGGGGTCATCAGTCAGATGAACGCCAAGCTTTATTTGGACATTAAGCCTTCCATTCACAAACACCTCAGAAGAAAAACCTTCTGGATATTCCCTCTGTCACATCACAGAATACCAACAGCAACTTCTAATGACATTTTCTCACATCTGATACAAATCAGCAAACTCAGAGCAGGACTGAGTTCTCTTCCTCTTAACATATCAAGCATGTCCCACAAAACAAGCAACAAGCAGCATTGAATCAATCTGTCCACATACATCCCTCACAATGTCTTAATGTTGCAACATGTCTGCAGGGATAAAGTTACAATTTCATGAGCTTCTTTAATGATAAAATTCTAGCTATTAGAGACAAAATTCACCAAGACCTGCCCTCAATTGGCACGACTTATCTCTTAACTCAGGAACCTTAGAAACAGCTGTAGAACCAGATACATGTTTAGACTGTTTTGCTTCCCTCAATCTTTACCAACTAACTTCAATAATTTCTTCATCTAAACCATCAACCTGCCTCTTAGACCCCATCCCGACTAGGTTGCTTAAAGATGTTCTACCCTTAGTCAGCACCTCTATACTAGATATGATCAATCTATCTTATCAACAGGCTATGTACCACAGTACTTTAAAGTAGCTGTAATTAAACCTCTTCTGAAAAAGCCCAAACTTGATCCGGATGTTTTAGCCAACTATAGACCTATATCTAACCTTCCATTTCTCTCTAAGGTCCTGGAGAAAGCAGTTGCTAAACAGCTGTGTGACTTTCTACAGAGCAATAGTTTATTTGAGGATTTTCAGTCAGGATTTAGAGCTCATCATAGCACAGAGACAGCACTGGTGAAAATTACTAATGACCTCCTTATTGCATCAGACAAAGGACTTGTCTCTGTACTGGTTTATTAGATCTTATTGCTGCATTTGATACCATTGACCATCAGATCCTATTGCAGAGACTGAATATTTCATTGGCATTAAAGGAACCGCTCTAAGCTGGTTTAAGTCCTATTATCAGATCGATTTCAGTTTGTACATGTTAACGATGAGTCCTCCATGCACGCCAAAGTTACTCATGGAGTTCCTCAAGGATCTGTCCTTGGACCAATTCTCTTCACTTTATATATGCTTCCCTTAGCAAATTATCAGGAAACATTCCATAAGCTTTCATTGTTATGCAGATGATACTCGGTTATATCTATCGATCAAGCCAGATGAAACTCATCAGTTAGCTAAACTTCAAATGTGCCTCAGGATGTTAAAACCTGGATGACCTGTAATTTTCTCATGTTAAACTCAGATAAAACTGAAGTTGCTCTGGGGCCTAAGCACCTCCGTGACGCATTATCTAAACATATAGTTTCCCTGGATGGCATTGCCTGGCCTCCAGCACCACTGTGAGAATCTTGGAGTTATCTTGATCAGGACATGTCGTTTAAGTCTCACATTAAGCAAATTTCAAGGAACGCCTTTTTTCACCTACGTAATATTGCGAAAATCAGGAACATCCTGTCTAAAAATGATGCAGAAAACTAGTCCATGCATTTGTTACTTCTAGGCGGATTACTGCAATTCCTTATTATCAGGCTGCTCGAAAAAGTCCCATTAAGACTCTTCAGCTGATCCAGAATGCTGCAGCACGTGTTCTGACAGGAACCAGGAAAAGAGATCACATTTCTCTGTTTAGCTTCTTTGCACTGGCTTCCAGAAAATCCAGAATAGAATTTAAAATCATTCTTCTTACCTACAA